ATAAAGAAATATAGCATCTACTCGCAATCATCTTGCAAATCGGACTCTAGAACCTAGTTTTTTTTATCTGAAATAGTTAAATAAGGGATGAGGTACACTATCTTAGTAAGGATATCATACTATATTACCGACATAGAAGTAAAGGTTGGTATAAAATCAAAACACTAATTGAGCACTTAATTTTAAACCAATACATTTATAAAAATAAAACTATTTATCGTTCACTTATCATAGTAGAATTCATAAAAACAATCTATACAGACAATAATATTATACAGATCATGATTCTATGTATAATCAACAATCATAGCACACATTATAAATCTATGTCCATCATCAATAAATCCACAATAACTATCGCTCTTTTTACTAGCCTACTGGTATCGATGGGGGTTCATATGTAACGGCATCGGAAATTTAAAAGGAAATAGATATATTTATTCTAAGTGCGGAAGCGAAATAAAATAGAATACGATTAACATCCCTTACACAATAACCGAAAACGTGTTCAAAATATAAAAGAACAAACTAATTAAAAGAGATACTCAAAAATAAGAATTCTAAATATAACTACGGAGTCTTTAGGCGTCCCCTTCGCCGTCTTCTTGCGGAACGGGCTCGGGAACAATGTCTTCCTGATCTGAAATGGTTAAATAAGGAATGAGCTACACTAGCCCAGTAAAGACATCACACTATCTCACCGTCACAGAGGTAAAGGTGGGTAGAAAACACAAAAAGACCAATGGAGCATAATTTACAACAATTTATTTTTATCAACAAATAAATCCTTTGCTATTCACTTAGCTCGGTGAAATTCATAAAACAATATACGAAAACAATAACATTACTATTATCATGGAATCATATGAGCTGTATAACATAATACTTATCACACATTTGCAGTTCAATCATTTCACAACATGTTTTTCCTCATTTATCAGCCTACTAGTATCCATGGGGATCCATAGGAGTCCCGCTACCCGTGAACCCTTAACACTTGTAATTAGATTCCAGGGCCGTCCCCATACCCCGTCCGGTATGGGCGCCAAAACTATAAACCTCAATACCACGTCCAGTATGAGGGTGAAACAGGCCATCCCCATATCCCGTCCGGTATGGGCGCCAAAACACATAAGATCCCCATACCCCGTCCGGTATGAAGGACCACAATCCAGGTAGGGCTCCCTACGGACCCGGTCCGTCCACCATCTCCCAGGATACCTAGTCAGGCTGTCCACATTATCCGTTTGCTAATTCACATAACCTTTTATCCCTTTTCCTTTAGTCACCATCATCAAGTCACACACAAACATGCAAACCAGTAGTCCATGCCAACAAGACAACACACAACATCGGGTTCTAGTCATTCAGTCCATAATCAATGAAACAATGATACATACACACGAAACTATGAAATGAAAACATCAGACATCATGCTGCATTTAAAACTGTAAAATAGAACAAACAACAACTGACCGACAAATACACCAGACTCGGGCTCCATTAGCAACCTTAAACAATTTCACACATCTACTGATTCATGAAATACCGTTTTATCATTTATTGAACTTTAATACCGTGATAGGAAATAGGGTGAGGGGTCCTTACTTGTTTCGGGGTCCGAATACGGCTCTACAGTGCGCCTGCAGGCTGTCCCTAATTTCTCTGAATTTTTTCCGGGGAATTGAAACGCACTACTGGTACCTGCATGTGTCCCAAAAAATCCCAAATTAGACCCAGGGCCCCTTTCGGCCAATATCGCAATTCCGGCACGGCGGCTCCGCCGTGCTCCGACGACGGCGCCGCCGCTTGCGGCGGCGATTCGCCTCGGGTTGGCCGTTTTTGGCCGTTTCCGACCGAATTTGGCCACGCTTGCATCGGTCCCTGCGGTAAAACAACCCTAGGGCCCTCGGGGGGCCAAAAAATTTCGAAAAAATCGAAGCTTACTGGCGGCGGTGCTCTCGGGTGCGGCGGCTCTCCGGCGAGGTTCGTGTTTTGGTGAATTGGCTCCGATCAACCTGTAGAGAAAAGAATGGTGATCACGATGATATAAAAATTGTATTAAACGGAGGCCGGGAAGAGCCTCATCGGAGGCAAAAATTGAGAGGGCGCGGCGGTGCCAGCTGGTTTTCGGCCAGAGTTTGGCTCCAATTTGGCCACAGGGAACTCAACATGGAAAAACGAGCCGGAGTATGAAATTTACCTCGATCGGCGGTC